TGCAGTTTCTCAGGTTTCCACCCAAAGGTGAAAATGGTACATAAAGGAGATGAAGGACTATTGCAACCACAGGCAGTAGTAGCTGTGATAATTACCGGTGATTTAGACCAGATCTTGAAAAGGTTATTTTTAAAAGACCACAACTCCCATAATCCAATTGGCTGGGGGTTTTGGAAGCTGATGTCCAGAAAAGCAAGGTTTCCCAGCCCTGATCCCGATCAACGACATCTCGTACTCTGCTTTTTCATCACAAGGAGAAACATGGGTGCCTGCCAGGCAGGGCAGGGGGACATGGAGGGCGCTCCAGCACAATCCTAAACTAAGCATTTCTTTAAAAGTGTCCAGGTAAAAGCTGTAGCCAGATCAATACATCCAAACGCCCCGAATTATTTCCGCGGACGCCCTTGATGAAGAATTGACCGAGATCCAATAGAGCATAAAACTCCCCCCTCTATGCGCACGAAGGGGGGGGGGAAGGAGCTTGTTTTTAAGGGGAGATGGAAACCCGCATTAAGGCTTTAAGCCGGTTCCACCAAAGATCCGGAACGAGCCCCCCCCCCCCCCCCCCGATCCATCAGGCAGCGGCGGCCGGGGCGCCCTGGCCGTTTCGCTTTTTGGAAAGAGGACAAACTTCGCTCGAAAACTTGCTTCTTCCCGACAAGTTGCGCCAAGCGGGTGGCCTTCGCGGGAACCGAAGGGGAGCGAAAGCAGGTCGAGACGAGGCAAATCCACTTACTTGCAACGAGAGCGCGTCGCTTCTCTCGGGCAGGCAGAGGACAGGAAGGCGACCCAGCAGCCGGGAGAGGAGAACGGCGGCAGCGGCAGCGGCAGGAGCGCGGCGGAGCAGGCGAGAAGGGCCGCGCCCCCAGAGCGCGAACGGCGGCGGTGACGGGACTGCGCCTCCGGGACATTTGCCGCGGCGCTTCAGGAGGGAGAAGCGCCCTCATGGTCACCGCGGCGCAGGCAGCCCGCGCGGCGCCTCCCGTCGGGCCCTGAGGGAGGGCTTCCCGCCCTCCCGAGAGGCGAGGCGAGAGACGTCGAGGAAGGAGAAGGGCACACCCTGCACACACACGCCACGGACGCGCGCCCAGCCCCTCGCCGCCTCGCCCGTGCAGCGACGGGGACCTGCGGCACCTCCCAGCCTTGCGCGGAACAGGACGCGCCGCCTTGCAACAGGTACGCGGGCACATCCCGCCGACCGCAACCAGGCGGGCGCGTACACGCTTCGTGGACCATCTCGGCAAGGGAGGTTCCCCCCCCCTCCACACACACACACACACCCGTCGCTGGCGAGCGGGGAATACGCGTCTGGACGGCCGGGCAACAAGTGGGCGTGGAAAGGGGGCCGGACGCGCGCGAAACGTTCCGTGAGGAGTAAGCGAAGCTCGCTGTTGCTGGAGTCCAGCATCCCGAGGGCGGTGCAAGAGAAGCCAGGAGAAATGCGAGAGGACGCTTTGCGGAGTCTGCCCTCCGCATTTTCTCCCCGGTGCCGGCCCCGATAGTGGGCAGAGCGTGGTAGTTGCCTCCGACAACTGCTGAGTTATTATAATATATATTTTTAGTGCTAGAGAGGGGAGAGGAAGAGGTGTCCAAGGGATGCCCTGCCTCAGGCGCCAAAGTGACTTGAGCACCCTCAGAATGGCGGTTGCTGGAGTCAAAGGGGACAGGTATCTTTTGCGGAGCTGCCTCAGGCAGCAAGTTATCTATGGCGGCCAGAATTGTATTGGGAGCACCTTGACATCTGAGCGTCGGTGCATCAGGGCCTCTCCCAATTTGAAGCTGATTGTTTTGGGAGCTCCTTGACATCTGAGCGTTCAGCCTGGAGGCAGGCGGTGCATCACAGCCTCTCCCAATTTGAAGAGACCCTTGTCCAGCAGGCCGAGGCAAAGAGGCAGTCCCGAACGCAGCAAAATCATTGAGCTGGACAGGGGACCCATCGTATTTGTCCTCAGCGTGGAAGGGATTTTCAGTCTCGAATTGGCTTTCGCAGCCACACTAGACGCTGTTCCAAGTCAGTCTCTCACCTGTCCTTTGGTGTAAAAGAAGCACAGATGTGTTCTCGATGGAGTGGAGACATATCACACACATACCAACACACACATACCTACACTTCTGATTCTTGTCTTGGTGGAAGAAAGAATTGGTGCAGGATTCAAATGACTGAAGTGATGGATTTATTAATTCTAAAGATACACAAGCAGTTGGGAAGAGTTGTGCAGGTGCGTCCCTCTGTAGCTGTCTTACAACAAAGAATTAGCCCTGTATTGCCCTTTCAGTGGCAAATGAGTTTGGAAGGGGGGGAATTCTTTCCCATGCTTCATTTAACTGGGACCTTTGGCCTGAAAAACAGTTGCTAGCGCTGATGAATGTGGTGTACTGGAAAGAGTGATGAGCTATGGTACAGGAGACCAGGGTTTGAATCCCAACTTGGTCATGGAATCTCAGTGAGGGAAGGTGGAACTGATGTAACCACTTTTTACATATCTCATTTTTCTTGAAAGCCTTATTAGGGTGGCTATAATCTGGATCTGACTTGACAGTGCATAACATTGCACAGTACTATTGAGCTTAGCAGCTTTTATTAAGGAAAGTGATTGTTTTCAGCACCTTGGTTAGCAGTAAAGTTATCCTGTAAAGTTTGGATTAAAACCCATAATGCATTCAGCACCGCCCCCCCCCATGAAATTGGAGTAACCGGAAAACCCAATTAGTTGTCCTAAACAGGATAGACCCACTGAATGTCTAGGACTCCCTAACTCCATACCTAAGCAAGTTCCATCACTTTACTCGAGTTGGAAGTAACATTTGGATTATTTCCAATGTGACATATTTCCATGTAAGAATCCACAGGTTTACAGTGGGGATAAATGTTTTCTTTGCATTGCTTGGTGAATGGAAACCACAATGCCATTCAGACAATTTCCTTGCCAGTTTCTTTTGCAGAATAAGGATGGATTTTTTTTCTGTCCTCAAGTAGATTTTATGATCTTGGACCACTAGGTGTCGCTGCATCTCTGTAAGCTGTGTCTGTTTTATTTACTGAATAAGGGAGGAGCAGGTGCTATGTTTTCCTGAGTTTGACTGAACAGCAGGCCTCTCTCACACGTGTTGCTTCCCATACTCCTGCTATTAATAGTTTGACCTCACATATTTTAAAAAAAACCACCCTTGTACACCCTTCCACCTGTAACTTTGGGCTCTGTTAAAAGCCAATGTGAACAATGACTCTAGGTAAAAGCTGCCTTGTACATCTCACCCAAACCCTGGAAACTGAATGTGCATTTCCTTCGCCTTAAATATAGTCTTCAGAATTAAAGTGCTCAAATTACAGCAGCACAGAAGCTGTTCAGAAATTACACGCCAGGAAATTGTTAGAATTTAGTAGTGTATCAACCTTTCTATTAATATTTCAAACCATCTATGCACTTTAGACTATTTAAAGGTCATGGCTGAATAGGAAGGATTGGCTTTACAGTTGACAACGTGGACCACAGTCTGGAGAACATTGATTCAGTTCCCAGTTCTGGATATAAAAGAACTTGCTCATGTTTATTTTGGGCAGAACTGTTCTACTACAGAGGTTCAGTCAATGCACCACATATGCAGCTGCCTTGGACTGGAGCTGACTATTCATCCTGGTTCAGTATTGTGCATTTTGATTAGCTGAGACATTCCAAGGTTCAAGGTAGATGTAGGACCAGATTAAGACACAGTGAGGCCTTAAATTATGTCTGATTTATAAGCTCTGCAGCATTAAAAAACAATAAAAACAAACAAAGAAATCATAAACAACTACAGTGGGGTCTCGACTTACGAACGGCTCGACAGACGAACGTTTCGACTTACGACCCGCTCTCATAGGAATATATGGACTCGACTTACGAACTTAGATTCGAGTTACGAACTCTTTTTTTTCCTTTTTTAAAAGCTAAGTCATCTTAGGTTAAAAGGAAAAAAGAAAAAATATCCCCCTCTAGTGGCAGAAGGCAGAATAGCAGCTTCCCATTAGTTTCTATGGACGAAAAGAGCAGATACGGATTAAATGGTTTTCAATGCATTCCTATGGGAAATGCAGATTCGACTTAAGAACTTTTCGACCTGAGAACTGCCTTCCAATACGGGTTAAGTTCGTAAGTCGAGGCCCCACTGTATTCTAAAAGAGTTATTGTCATTATTATTGGTTTAGAGGCCCACCACAGTCTGACGAATTATATAGCCAGTGTGACATAGCAGTTAGTGTGTGGGAATAGGATTCAGGAGATCTGGATTAAACACTTGAACAGAAAATTCTCTGGGGCTGTTAATAGCGGCATTAATGGAAGTACAGTCTCCAGATCCTACAAGGAACTTGTTCCTCTCTGTTCAGCACTGGCTAGGCCTTATTTTGATTATTGTGTCCAATTCTGAACGCTGCATTTCAAGAAGGATGGCAACAAATTGGAATAAGCTCAGAGGAGGGCAACAAGGATGATCAGGGGGGTGGAAATCAAGCCCTATGAGGAAAGACTGAATAAGCAAGTATAGCCTTGAGAAAAGAAGACTGAGGAGAGACATCATAGCATTTTTCAAATACTTGAAAGGCTGTCATTCAGAGGAAGGGCAAGATCTGTTCTCAATCATCCCAGAGTGGGACACACAACAATGGGCTCAAATTATAGGAAGCCAGATTTTGGTTGAGTATCATGAAAATTTTTCTAACTGTTAGATCAGTACAACAGTGAAACCAATTACCTCGAGAGGCAGTGGATGTTCCAACACTGAAGGCATTCAAGAAAAACTTAGATAATGACCTGGCAGATACCTTTGATTTGTATTCCTACATTGAGCAAGAGGTTGCACCCGATGGCCTTATAGGCCTCTTCCAGCTTCATTATTCTATTTTATGATCCTTGGCCACTCACTTTTCCTCACGCTGACTTGACTTGACAGGATTGTTAGAATAAAGTATGGACAGCTATATACACCTATAGGAAGAAAAGCAGGATATATAAACTACAACAGACAAATGAAGATCTTATATCACCCAAATCTTGTTTACTGGCAGTGTGAAGAATCTAATAGAAAATCTTGTGCATGTTATACTACTGATCATCACAGTTCCAATTCTGGAGGAACTGTAATAGATATTATTGTTGCAGCTCTGTCCATACTTGCTGTTATTTTACAACACAATATATTCCTGTAAAAATGTCCAAGCAAAACATTGATTAAGTCTTTTTGGAAATGGATTAGCAGAATTTATGAAATGATCTACTGTTGATGAATATATGGCGGCTTCCAACTCAAACTTTGGTGGTTTAGGTCCTCATAGCGATAGACCTACTTCAGTTTTTGTAGCAGTTTTTAAAGAATGATGGCACCATGCTGGCTATTCTTCCCAGTTTCTAACTAGGTGTTTTCTAGAGATGTTTTTGGTGTCTTCATTTATAATTTTCGAGACCCCCTGTGTTGCGGTATGCTACTTTCCAATATTTCATCAATAAATGAATTTCAAAATTCTTTTGGGCTGCTCAGTATCCTCACATTGTAGGGTTAAACTCAGCTAGACTTCTAGTGAAAAGTGAAAGTTTCCCCAGTCAATGCTCTTTCTTTGTCTCTACATTATACTGACTTGAATGGTGTTTTGGGGCATAGCCATATTTTCTGGATTTCAGCCACACTGAACAAATGGCCTATTATAATGAGCTGGTTAAGGCACTTTGATATGGAATTTATTTATAATTCTCCAATACCCTCTGGTCCATAGTTTACAAGATACACTGTATGTGAACTTTATATCAGCTTGACAGCTTGGAGACATCTTTGGACTATAATTGCAGTTCAAGTACTATAATCAAGCTTTGTAATCCACAGCTTTGCTATTTAAATCTTTATACATGTTCATTAGTTGAGCAAGCTTTTCATGATGGGTCATGAGGATTTTGGGAGATGTCTGGGCATCCCAATCCATACCATCACCATTGATTTCAGATAGAAAAACAGATGCCCTTGCAAATGATGAATGACAGGGTTCTAGGAAAAAAAATACTGACTGGAGGATTCTGAGAGATATAGTTCCAAAAATGTAATTTTTGTCAAGCCCTGGACGTTTATCATAGAATAGAGAAGGGTCCGTGTAGGAATACAGATCAAAGGATATCTGCCAGGTGGTTGTCTAAGTTTCTCTTGAATGCTTCCACTTTTATCATATTAAAGTTGGGTTGGATGACACAGGGATTGCAATA